GTGTGTGTGTGTGTGTGTGTGTGTGTGTGTGTGTGTGTGTGTGTGTAGGCAGAGTCACAAATCACAGGCTCAAGCTGTGGTTGATATGCAATAAAAAAACAAACATGCTGTCAGTGAATCAGGCTGATAAAACCTTGTCAGTTGCAGCGGTCCAACATGGCAGACTGCATCCTGTAACTTTCTGCTGCACACTGAAAGTCTGCAGGTTCACAGCAAGCAGTTTGTGGACGAGGAGTCTGAACAACAAGGACACATTTGTTCAAACTCCAGTATTCTGCTCAGAGAACTCGTCTCCATTGCAGCTGCTTCCTTGTTGCACAGAGGCAGAGTGCTTTCACTTCTTCTACAACTAAATGCATGAAAATTAAGCTTTTTTTCCCCTAGCAGCACAAGCTGTAGAAATTAAAGATCAGCCATGATATCAAATACGATCCTCAGTTACTGGTTTATTATGTTTTTTCTCTTTTCATTAAAAAACTGGAACAAAAATAATAAACAAGCCATGAATTGTTAAATATGTTGCACGCAGAAATCTAAATTTCAACCACTTACCAAAGAGTGAACATTTTCATGGACGCCCACATCAGAGAAAAAGAATCATCAGTTGCAAAACACCCGCAGCAGATGGATGGCTCCGGGTGCCTGCGTGCTTTGGCCCCGCATTTCAGCGCATCAGAGACGGACAGGTGCCTCGGTCCAGACCCGATGCCCACCTCCGAATCGGTACGTGACGGACAGCCTCGCTCAGGTATACGCTGAACCACACACACTCTCTCTCATACACACACACACACTCTGACATACACACTGCTTTACGAGAGATGGTATCGCTCCGCCGGTGCTGAGTGATGGTGCCTGTGAGAGCGCGCGGCAGATGACAGCTGCGCGCCGCTCATCAACCGTGCTGTGTTGGGTTTGCAATTCTATCTTTATTTTTTTTTCTTTTAGTCAAGTATTTACTGATTTTGCTCGGTGTGAGTGATGGTGCGTAACTGTGGAAGGGCACTATTTTAGTGAGGTGGGCAAGGATAACAGGGATGCGAAGGGGCAAGCCGGAACAAGCCGCTTTTCGAGGCGTGGGCTTTAAAGGAGCAAACAGCGCGAGCGCCTGCAGCAGGCGGGTGGAGAACACTGACGAGTGTGTGTGTGTGTGTGTGTGTGTGTGTGTGTGTGTGTGTGTGTGTGTGTG